CTCACATACCATTTTACTGTATACCCTGCCAATGCCTCAGCTGCAGGTACCTCGAACAAACGTAGGTGCGTCTTCGAGTCGATAAGCACTCTGGGAAGTTATTTGATGATAACTTATAATTACTACTAAGTACTTCCGTCTTTTAAATAGCGAGCTCCAGTTTTGCTTCCATAAGCCTATTTCTAACATTACGTTATTGACTACCAGGAGATTTAATCGTTAGGTTACAGTCCGGTTTACTGGGCAGAACTCACGGGGCCAATCACGGGACCACGGGGCCAATCAGAACTTGTCCTACAGACGCCCTCAATGTTATTACAACCTATTTCCTACAGACCTTCACACAATGCTCAGAGAAATGGGTACATTGATAGAAAGAACGAAAGGCGATAGTACAATAATTTCTCGATTGCTACCTAAGATGAACCTGACTACCGATGACATACGACCTGAAGTAGCAGTTCCAGACACACTGTGGGGTCAAAGGTGGCGCACAGCGGCAGGCTGCCGTATATCCAAACTCATGTGGCCCGTGTACAACCCTAAGAGAACGCAAAACTCATTAAGAATACCCAGACCTAACGTTAAAAGGCTTTTACCAACTCTCACTGAGCACTGGCCGGTTGGCACCCACGCACGAAGGCTGGGCATCGCCTAAAACGACCTCTGTCGAAGCTGCAGAGACCAAAACGAGCAGGAAGCAGTAGTGCACCTTCTTTGCAAATGTCTAGCTGAAATTAGGAACAGAAATACCAAACTAGGAGCATATCAGTTCACAACGTTGCGATAACTATCTGATATAAGGCTCCAAGGGGTTAAAAAGGTTTTTAAGGCTCAGTTTTAAGAAAGCCAAAGTGGTTGTTTGAAAGTCTATTTGTTCCTCGAGAAATTTCTCAAGCTGGTCATTTATATCACAGCCCCCTGAAAAACAAAAAGTGTCATGTACTTTTTGACAGGAGTGCCTTAGTCCCATGAGCTTTGGTGCTCTGAACATGTGGATTTTTAGAGCTGTCCTGTAGCCACACAAAAAAAAGTATTAGAGTTCGGGGACGAGATTATCTTTTCCTCATATATTTTGACGCGCTGAGAATGAATCTGAAGTTCGTTTTGCTTCATCACCTCAGGAATTTTACCTAACCTCAAAAACCTGTCATAAAATATCGGCGATTGCTTTTGAGGTTAGGAAAAAAATCCTGACATGATGGAGCAAAACAGACTTAAGATTCGTCTTCAGGGCACAAAAACACATGGAGGTAAAGTATTCTTGTCAAAAGTACATGACACTTTTTTTGTGTGTTTGTGCAAGACATAGAAAGGGACCTACGTACCTGCTGATGACTGATTCGGCAGTTAACCCGGCTTTAGGAGATCCTTGCTTTTATCTCTCTTTTAATCTTTTTCGCCCTTGCGTGTTAAAGGTGCAAAATACCTTAAGCAGGACCGACGTTCGATGCTTGATCCAGCCAACATTAAAAAAAAAAATAAAAATCGGATTTTCTAAAAGCGGTCGTAACTCGGCAGGCAATGGTGTTTTTCTGCCGTAAAAAAGCTTCTCGGAAAAACCATTCCCATTCCAAGGCGGCGTAATACTGTAGATTCCTACATTTGTGTGAAAAGAGGAAGAAGTTTGGCTAAGCGCTCTATTTCGTCTTCATTTCCTCTCTCATTTTAATTATTATCTTAGTATTTATCACTCCTTATCTCCGTAAGCCTTCTTTTAATCTCCTATTTTTCCACCTATTGCACTGAACCCATTTAGTAATCCCGTTTGAAATCCTAATCCCATCAAATCTTAATGTTTTCTTACTCAGTTACATTTCCCCTTCTCTTCTTTCAGCTCAGCATAACTGTCCCCAATTAAATTTATTTTGTTTACTTTTTACCATTCACTTTTCTAGACTTTTTACTTACCGTTGTGCAGTATTCGTGCATTGGATGACTCAGTTTGTGATTTTTGGCATTGCGTCCAAAGAAGAAACACTTTTGGCACATATCGAAATTGAAGCACTTGAGGCAACGATAACGGAATCCAATTATCGGATACTCTTTGCAAATGTTACACTTTGCCTGTTGTTGCCAATTTTCAGCGCCAGCCATGTTGCCACCAATTTGCCATTGAAGTGATGTTGCCATTTGTGCAGCGGAAAATAGTTGTTAAGGTGATTGTTTGGTGAAGTGGTTGCGACGAAAAGCGGAATGTGGAGTTGTCGTCATCGTCGTGGGTGGCGAGGATGCAGCGAAGAAAGGTGTACCGAGAAATGCAAATATTGGATTTAGTACTTGCGGTAAAGTCTTACATACACACACACACACACAGAAATGCACGCATACACATACATATAAATGGCTAAAGTGTGAAATGCATTGGAGGAAAAGTTGGTTGTACGCGGGGTAAGGAGTGCAGTGTTAAAATGTATGGAATGTGGTTGCTGGTTAGTTGGTTGGTAACAGTTGGTGGGTGGAAATTGCGGTGAATTGTGCAATAATTGCCGTTAAGTGGGTGAAAATTGCGCGCCATGCTGGCTATTATAGCAACACAATGAACACTTTGATTCGCTGATACATATTCATGTTGATGAGGATAGTACATACATACATATAAGCGATTGTGCAGGATGTGTTTAAGTGAGGTGAGCGAGGAAAGGGAGAAGGAGCCGGATATGAGGGCTAGTTGAGGGTTGCGGTTTAAGAGCTGTATAGTGGCACGCCATCAATTACAGCGGTCGATGGTTGGTTGTTTGCTTGCTTGCTGCTTGCAGGCGGTAGACGCAACGCACTTACCTGATGTTTGGCCGTTTCGGCAGCTGCCAGACGATGTAGCACCGGCATCCAGACTAAGCTTTGCGGCTCATGTTGCAACCAGCCGAGGAAGTGTGATTGTTCAATGGCAATTTCCTGATTGGCATCGATAGCTGTGTGCGTGTGATTGACAATGTTGAAGAGATAAAAAAGAGAAGCGTGAAAGAAAAAACATTTAAATTGTTTGCTTGAAGTTGAGTGACTTGAAAATTGCGCTAAATTTGGTCAAAGTGTAATTGATTAACGCTTAATTGATTAGTGTTGTTTTTTATGGAAAATTTTCAAATCACCAGCTCGTTGGTAAGTGAGTAATTTAGTAAAAAAATAAAAAAGTTTACCTTCTTGTGAGATGCCTGCGCGTTCCAGACAGAGCGCACCGAAGGCTCTATGTTGGAGCCGCCAAAAGCGGCAACTTCGCCTAACTGGCGTGGCACCTACGAAATGAATTTGTTTTGTTAAAGATAATTTGGAACAAAAAAGTTTTGCAAACATACCTGTATGCAATCGTGCAGCAGCAAACCCAATTTTCTTTGATCAACTTTGCGTTCAGGATCGGCAACTAAGCGAAATAGATAACGATACTTCTCCTCGAGGTGGCCCTTGCAAAGCAAAATGAGGCCAACCTGTAAGCGAAAATAGTAAAAAAATAAAAAAGAAAAAAGAAGCAATAAAAAGAAGATATATGCACAAAAAAAAACAGTTTTTTTTTCTAAACCCAACTACCTTAAAGCTCAGCACTCGTATCTGTCCGGTACGTTGCGAATCGTACACATTCAATATCCAGTTTATAGCCAAATCCAACATTAATGTCAAATCAATTTTATCGATTGTCACATAGAGCGAATGCAAGACGGTTGTCATGTCGGGTATGTCAATGAGTTTGTCGTTTTGTGCGCGTAGCGAATGACGATCGAACGATTCGATGGCAGTGGACATTGGTATGCGATCGAGAGCTGTTTGTATGTATGTACGGTTGTGGTGGTGTTGTTTGTTTGTAAACAAAGTTATAAAATTTCAAAAATTATTGCGTGAATTCTTAAGCGACGGCAGCACAACGCTGGTGGTCACGTGCCGTAAATTTATTTATTTAATTTGTACATAAAGAAAACTAGTTTTTCGTTTGTGTTTATTTTTACTTACCTAAACGCTTTTGCACAGCGCGCAATTTCATCGCAGTACGATAGGCTGAGAAGCGTATTTCGTTAAGATCGGCTAAGCTCTTCATTAGTTCTATCATTTCTGGATGATCCCAGTGGGTGGTTTCGCGTTCGTGACTAGTAAAGTATAGTATAATAAAGATAATGAATTTAAGGTAATAATATTCATTAGAAGATAAATATTTAATTGTTTTTGATCTCTAAATTGCTAGAAGGATGTACCACGCTGTAATTGATATAAATCAGGGTCCGAAAATGACCATTAAATATCAAGATTTTTAGTTTTAGATCATCGTAAAATCGTTATTTTTTATCTTTATTTCTGTGGTCAAGAAAAAAAATTGCATTAAAATTCTTGTTTTTTTTTTGTAAAAAATTTAGTCGTTATTTTGTGTTTTTTAATTCTTTTCGATAAAAAGAAATCGTTCATTTGGATTGCTATTTTGTCAACATTTTTAACCGTTATAATGGATACTGGGTTTTTATAAACATTTTGTGATTTTAAAAATTTTGTCTGCGGTAATAATACGATCGAAAAACTTACTATAAAAAATTTATCAAAAAAATAAGAATGCAAAATAACTATTATTTCCATTGGAAAAAATCAATATCAACGGTTAAATGGATTAATGAAATTAATTAATTAATGAAAAAAAATTTGCGTAAATTCCCCGTGACTGTTGCGAATCTTCTTCTTCTTCCTAATACCCGTAAAGCTTAACATATAATATGGGCATTTTTCTGCATAAAAATCATTCATATTCATTCTAATCCCAATTTAAATTTTAATATAATTTAAATCTTAATCTTCTTCTTCACCTTTTTCTAAATCTTAATCTTAATATTAAAATTAGTTTAAATGTTATACTTAATCCCAGTTTTAATGTCAATTTTAATCTTTAATCCTAATTTAATTTAATTTTAATCTTAATTTTAATTTAAATGTTAATCCTAATCCTAGTCTTAATCTTGATCTTAGTTTTTTATTTATCTTAATTTTAATATCAATCTTAATTTTAATGTTACTATTAATTTTATTCCTAATCATAATCTTAGTCTGAATCTTTATGTGTTTTCTAATCTTAATCTTAACCTTAATCTTAATCATAGTCTTTATCTTTTCCTTAACCGCATTCTTAATCTTTATCTTTTCCTTAATCTTAATTGTAATCTTAATCTTAACCTAAATCTTATTCTTATTCTTGTTAAAGTTATTTTTTATCTTTGCCTTCTTCTTCTTGGCCTTATTTCCAATCTTAACCCAAATCTTAATTTGTATGTTAATATTAATCCTAGTTTTAATCTTCAGCTTAATTTTAATATTAAACTTTATTTTAATCCTAATCCTGATATTAGTCTTTATCTTGTTCTTAATCTTTAGTTGTCCTTAACCTTATTCTTTATCCTCATCCTTAATCTGAATCTGTATGTTTATAGTAATCTACATAATCCGAGCCGAGCGCAAAGAAGCTTTGCGTAAAAATAATTTCATGCATCGATAACCTAGCAGATGTATTTCCTATCCTTATTTTCTACTTTTTTATCGTTTACTCACTCAATGTAGTAAGGCACATTGGCTGCTGTCGTTGCTCGTTCCCAAGGCGGCTTAACGCTCTGTCCCAGATTAGGTAATGGCCCGATTGTGCCACTATTCGATGTTGTGCGTCCATCTTCACCGTTTTCCAAAGCCTGATTTGCGCCAGCATTGCAAAGTACCTTTTGACGTTCGTCCATTGCAATTTGGAGTAGTTTCATTCTGGAAGAGGACAAAAATGTTGAAATGTTAAATGGAAATGGTTTCCGAATTTGCAGTTTCAATTTAGCCTCAGCCTTTATACAGTGCAAGAAAAGCTGTAACTTAAACTACAATAAAAATCAATTCAATAAACCAATTCATGTGAGCAGCTCTTTAATTAAACACCCCGATAACATTTATATTCGCCAGTAGTGAACCAAGCTTCGATTCCCGGTCAGAGCAACGTAAAAACAGGTTTTTTTTTCCGAATAGTGGTCCCAACTCGATAGACAATACCAAACTTTCAAGCTTATTTCTGACAAGAAAAATCTCATCAAAACCATTTGGCGTTCGGAGGTGTCATATGTAAAACTGTGGATCCATCCGCAGGGTGATATTTAAAGGGGGCCAATCCCACTTATTCGATTTAGGAGTCCACTAAAGAATGCAGCTTCTATTCAAGCGGCTTGCTATATAAACATCTACCCTAAAACTTTAACCCAGGCTCTGGTTAACGCTGGGTTTGGAACCCGCTACGTAAAGCCCCTTGCAATTGATTTGGGGGTATGCACATAGAATGTATGTATTCTTTATGGACAAGGTGCCGGTTTATTGATGTACTCCGCAAGACTAAGGCTGTAACCATCGTCATCGAAGAAACTCCATGGATCGGGAAAGGCAAGAAACACGTGGGCACTTGCGACATCTTCAATATAAGCAGTGTAATAATGCTATGTAACGGACGCCAAATTCGGTGTCGTATTTTTTTAGGAGAGGCTTCGTCGATGACCGCTATCGTTTCTCGCTACAATCCGCCTCAAAACGTGGTTCTACAATATCTCGTTCATTTGCGTGCACACTCTGGCGGAAGAGAAGGACAAGTCGGCCGAAAATCTGCTCTAAGAGCTCACTAACTAGCGCTGCCCCAGTAACCACATTAATATGAAGAAGAAATGAGGAATGTCACGCCGAGGAAGAGAAAAAATATGTCACCTATAGGGCCATGCAGCGATCAGGCGCAATGCGACCTATGTGGAACCAAACTTCGTAGTAAAAAGAGAGGCCGAAGTACGTGAGTTCGAAAATATTTCTAGCTGGTTGAAAGAAAAACACTCAAAAATTTTATCAAAAAAGTTAGGTGTTTAAAGAAGAAAGTTATTATTAAATATTTTTCAATGTAATTAAACTGTTCGAAGTTTATTTTATTTTATTTTTCCAATAAGATAGGCTTTTCTTTTGTTAGTTTAGTTTTTTTAGTTTTTAGATTTATTGTTTAAAACGAAAATTAGTTTTTTTCACTTAACTTTTAAGACCTTTTTTTATTAAATTTTTTGTCTTTTTCAACTCAATTTTCTTTTAAATTAAAAATTTTGTTTTAGAAATAAATAAATTTTTTAATTTGATTTAATTTTTAAGTGCAATCGTTTAAGATTGTATTGTTAAAAAAAAAAATTTTAATTTTAAAAATTATATTTTTTGCTTTATTATCATTTTGTTTTTTTTCTTTTCTACTTAATTTAATTTTCTTTTGTTTAATATTTTTTGTTGTTTAAAAAGAAATATGCACGTATATGTTTTCATTACTTTAATTGAATTTTTTGTCTGTCAATTAGTATTTCGAGAGGCAGTAAAGAACTTTCAATATAGTTACCCGAATTGACAATTGTCTTGCGAAAGCCTTTTTTCTTTCGAAAGACGGTGGTGACTTGAAAGCTAATATACATAACAACATATGTAGTTTCGCTATGTACAATGTACATCCATATACGTATTTTGAGGCCCCATATTTCAGCACAACCAGCTTACTAGTGCACGGGGAACGACTGAGGCAACATAGTAACCTAATTCAGCTAGCTGATATCGCATAAAACAAAGCTTGATAGGTGCTTTATAACTTGTGGCTGGATGGATGCTTTGAAGAGCAATGGAGTTACATAAGAGTTTGAGTGATATGGATTAAAGAGCAGAATGATTGAGGATATGTAAGCACAAGCATGGTAGTTATTCATATATGTATGTAAGTATAAATTTGTATCGAACTCAAATTTTCCACCCACCTTGTATTCAAATCTTCTAGCCTTGATAGGCATACAGCGGGCACCAATACTTGATTGGCGGTAAAGAATGCCTGCTGTTCGTTGCAATCGTCCAACAGTGCACCGGCGGTAGTCATTTTGTCGCGTAAACGTTGCAAATGTTGCATTTGCTCGGTGGCTTCCTGTGCGGAGGCAGGTGGTTGCCATGATGTTGTTGTTGCTTCAGCGGAGGCGACACGTGAAGTCAAATCCTCAAGCGTTTTTTGGAATTGGCGCATTTTCTGTAAAGAAAAAAAGAAACAGTTGCATAATGAAAATGTGGTCATTATATTTAAATGAGTTCAAAATAAGCACTAAGTACTGTTATATGGTGATTTCATAAAACACATCGCTAAAATAATATTTCCAATGAATGATGAAACAAGTAAAGCCGTTGCTTTTTTACTTAATTTCACTGCTGCTAACGGAGTAAGTACTTACATATGTACATATGTACATTAGGGTGGTCCAGAAAAAAAGTATTTGAGAGAAGTGAAGTTCGAATTTTAACGCCTCACCCGTTGGGATTGTTCTAAATGGAAAAAATATACCCCTTTTTTAAATAAAAAAAATATTTAGGTGCCTCAAAGCGCTCAATGTTTCCTTTGGCGAAAAACTATTTTTCGTACAAAGTCAATGTTTTTCAACCGGCAAACTCTGCTTCACTTAAGGAGACTTCAAGGAATTATACCCTTTTGTTTATTTATCCATTTTTTTAAAACTAACGACTTTTAAAATTTTTTTAAAATATAAAATATTTTTTTTCGATATAGAACAATCCCAGGCAATTTCTCTGGCAATTTTAATGGTCAATTTAATGTCATAATTTCCTTTTTAAGTACTCTTCGAGAACCCTTTCTGCCTTACGGGTTGCTTTTATCTTTAATTGGCGCATTTTAATTACATGATAGGGTTGAAATTTTAATTCCTTTTTTATACACTTTAATACTTTATTTATTTTCCAACTGTCAAATTGAAAAAATTTAAATATATATGAAATACCTCCGTGTACGCACACATATGCAGCGTTTCCTTTTACAGGCTTAACATATAAAATTAAGAAAGAAGTTCAGCGTAAAAGTTTTTGTTAATAGAGCCATTTAAATTCCTTTCATTTTGCTTTTTAACTACGCTTTGTGCCTGCTATACATATGTACATAACTACTTCTGTTGGAAAAACTTTTCACTGACTGCCTCATTTAATGAATGACTTAAGTAAGTTTGAAGCGATATTAAACGAGTAGCATTAAATATATTATGTACTAACTAGTAATTACCCGGCGTGCTTCACTGCGCCTTAAAAGTATTTTTGTGCTGTTTGATACCCGAATTGTAATACTTTATTTAAGTTATCAATTTAATTGAATCCAATTTTTCAAACAGGTGGCAACCCTCTTAAAAAAGTTCTCGCCAGAAAACTTTGCGGAACTTCTTCAGTTTAATACCCAAATTGCAATATTCCATCTGCCTTATCAGTTAAATTAAATTAAAATTTTCAAACAGGTGCCAACATTCAACAAAAATATTTTCGGCGGTAAGCCTTTTTAAACATATTTATTTTCACTGCAATATTGCAATGTTTACTTTATCTTATCAATTAAAGTACAATTTTCAAACAGGTGGCAACTCTCTATTTTTTCTATATTTTAAGATAGACAATACATCTATGAAAACTGCATTCAATTTCATGCAATAGTTTTCTAATGATGCTCGTACAAACATATAGACAGACAGACAATAATTCTAAAAATTTTATATGTATAGAAATGTAAGGGTAAGTACGTAACCTCAAAGGTCAGAACAACATGCTTTAGTCAGTTTATCCTAATGCAATGCGATGATGATAATGAGTGAGCTTTTATTCCATCATTTTCGATTTCTCATAGCAAGGAAGAGACTAAAGGAAAAGTTTAACTATTAAAGATTTTAAATCCTGCCTTACTAAAGACGAAAAAAGTACTTGAATTTCTCCACTTTTCATTGTTTCTGCAACTATGCCAAATGTTGTTTATGGAATAACCCATGCCTTTTTCGTGTTTGGTCATTAAGCAGGGTTTAGATTCAATGCCTAAACTACGAGGGAAATTTGAAAGGTCAGTGCGCAGTGTCCTTAAATACAATGCTGTTCTTGTCAACTGCCATCGATTAATAGACTACTGTAAAATTTTGAACAAGCTGCGCCATTTAGTTTGTGTTTGACAGCCATTGAAAGCAAACAGCCTCGTCATTTTTAACGAAAATGTAAAGGCCAAAATACAATAGCGCAGTGGCAGTGGCAGTGACAGTTTTTAAAATCAGCTGTTACTGCTAATATTGGCAGTGACAGCTTTTTTGACATTCCCCTTATGTTTGTTTACATTTTTGTTGTTGTCTTTTAGGCTTCAGTGACATAAACAGAAGTAGGCTGCATTTTTATTTATGTCAAATTCAACTTGCGAAGTTTGCTGCGATTTGGTAAAAAAATGGAGTCCATATGACAGTTTCCTGACAGAGCTTATGGGTTAAAATGCACTGCAAAATTATTCCTCCTGAAATTTTAATTTATGATATGAATTTTAACCCTCTTTCCGCTTATTGTAAAAACACTTTGGAGGTTTTAGTATACGGGTATTTCATCCTGAATTGGAATCCTTCCGCCTCCCGACAACCACTCTGAAATTGTTGTGCAATATTGCCGGATCGGCAATACTCGAAAATTTATTTCTTTTAGGTATGTTCAAGCTCAAAATTAATTTTTCTCAATCATATTTTCTTTCTAACACACAAATTCAAAAACAATTATGTACAATATCTTTCACGAAACTTCTACCTTATCTTATTTTATGCAAGGAAAATCAGATGGAAAAATTATAAGATGCGATATACATAATATATTTTTTTTAGATTGGAATGTCAACAGGGCGCCTTGGGAGCCAAAGGGTTAATTTCTCAAAGTGTTTTCAGGATACTATGTAATAAACAATAAACATACAATACCAACTATTAATATAACAAGTTTCCATTTGCTTTACGGCTCTAGGCTGATATAACGGGAATTGTGTGGTTTCAGACAGCATGCATATACATAATACTGTTATATATGTATATAATATGTATGTATGTATGTGTATGTATGTGTACGTATTTAAATGCATTTATACTATTAATTTTCGTACACGGCAGGATACCAGAACAAATATGTACAAATGCGAATATATTTATGTATGTATATGGGACATTCTCTTTCAAGCGAACCACCGCATATCACCATTTTTGTTTTGATTTAAATAAGTAGAAGGCTTCTGGAAGGGTTTACCTTTAAATGCCGTTGGGCGTTTTTTAAAATCCAGGATGGCGGTATTAATACGGCATCTAAACTAACTGTAAATTAGATTTTGCTTTACACCTTTGGTGCCTCCGGAGAATCCAACACTAAAAAAAAAAGAAAAACTAACAGCGGGTTTTTTTTAGGGTTTCTACTTAAGAATCTGGGGCCAGATTTTAATAGATAAAAACTGTTAATTCAATATGGCGCCAAAAAAATTAAATTTTTCAAATTCGCTTAAAATATTTTCCTCGGGGGTTTTGTGGTCCCTGATTACAAATTTGAAATCAGATTATAATAAATAAAAATGGCGGCACAATATTGTATCTACCACTTATTAAGGAAAGGATAAAATCTAACGCGCGTACACACATTGCGTATGAGTTGCTCAGACGAGATGAGAATGTTACTCATACGCCATGTACGTACAATCTATTTAAAATTCCCCATGATAAATGGTAAATCTAAAATTGATCCGATATTTTGAATTTTTTTAAATCTGAATTCAAATTCATAGTAAGCGACCCTTAGAGCTTTAATGCTTTATAGGAGTTCAAACTATTTAAAATTATTTTGGGTGCCATATTAAGTACGCCATATTGAAATTTTTAAATATGATTTCAAATTCGATTGTCTTCTTGTTGTCTGCTGGGTTCTCCAGAGACACAAACCGCCATTTGGAAT